TATATATTGTTATATATATATATATATATTGTTATACGATGAATTTGCTGAAAATAAAATTCAAATAGTCCTAGAGCTGTTTTCAAAATTTATAATTTGAATATCTGAGGTGCTTTAAGATCTAAAAATTGAGTCAAATTATAGTGTACATAAAATAAATTTTATAGTGACATATCACTTATAATGAGAATCCAATCTAATGGAAGGACTCCCTACAACAATTTTAAAGTTAACCATAATCATATTTTTTTTAATTATAAAAAAAAATCATTATTAATAATATTAAAATGGTGAGATTAATTGAATAAAAGTATCTTTTAATCATATATATATTTTTAATTTTAATTATATTTTCTAGTGAGTAATTATTAATGCAGTGAATAAAATCATTTCGTAAATAAAATTTGTAATTTAATCATATTTTATAAACTTATGATTAAGATTTCATTATAATCTATATATGTAATGACATCTCAATCAAATATAAGATTCTGTTTGAAACACATATAAAGGAATCGAGCCAAACAGAGCTTGATCAAACTTGAGTTTATTTGCCCAAATCTTGTTCAAGGGCGAGCTCAAGTCGTGTTGCTTGATTTCAGTGTCATGGCAATGTTCAAGTTTAATTTTCATTTTAAATTATAGATGCTTGAGCATCTTCTGAGCTTATTACATTAGCCAATCAGATCATGAGAGCATATTAACAATCAACACTATCACATAGCTTATTAGTTAAATAAATAAGTATTAATTTTAAAAATTATAATCAAGGCATAAATGAGCATATTATTAAATATTAATTAAATTTCTGAATAATTAAGTTTATTCGTAAGCTTTAAATGATATTGCTCATGACAATATATAAATGAAGTAACAAAATATTCAATTTTATTTATTATTCAATTAAATATTTAAGTTATGATTTAACTTATCAAGTACATTGAGTTGTTTATAACCCTAATTAAACTATCATACTAGGTTGAGAGTGACTCATGCCACCTTAGAGAGTGATAAATTTGCCTTTAAATTGGGATAGCTATTAGACTTTTTCTTTTTTGAGAAAGTAGAGTCTTTTGGGCAATATGCATAATTAGAACCCACAATCTCACTATAGGAAATTAACCCTCAATCTTGGTTAAGTGTGCATGACTATTGAACATATTTGATTAATCTCAATCATTTGTATTGATTCAACTAATCGAATCTCTCTAATAAATCTACTGTTTCCATCAACATATCCACCATACACATGATAATAATTTCATAATGATTTTTGCAAAATCTCAATCAAGCCCTGATTGAACCATCTGAACTTGAATAAAAACATAACTAGCTAGTTTCGACCACCCAATTCACTGCAAAATGATTCATCACTTCTGATCCAATTTAGTTATGTAAGTAACAACACAAAAAATTAAGTCCAAATATATTTTTTTACAAAAATTTTGCGAGAATAAATTTCAAAGTTATATATCTATTACAATATGAATATTATTTAAAAAAGGTCGATCAAATAATATATTATATTTATTTTAAAATAAATTTAAAATTATCATTACTAAATATTGATCACTTATTCACTTTAAAAAAAAAAACTAATAATAAAATAAATATAATTAAATAAGACCACCCGTCCAGCCCTTTTATCTATTCGCCGTTTTATCCATTCATCGATTTCAGGAACTGAGGACAATGGACGGATGTATATTCGACCATACTTTATTGATTAATAGTGAGGTTTTTGTTTTTGGCCATCGCATACTATACTTTATAAGTTTGTGATCCAATATTTAAGAAAGAAAATTAATCAAGAGCCCACTTGCTAGTAAGAAAAGATCGTTTATAGCCAATTGAATAGAAGAGATTATATTCTTTCACGATCACGAGTTCAAAACACAAAATATTTTATCCAAACAAAAAGACATAAAATATTACTCTATACTCCCAATTAATTACATCCATACCACACAATTCTTCTAAACTTTAATTCAATGTTTTTATATATCTATTATCCTATTTATGCATGAAAAAGGCCTATTTCGGTTCTTAAAAGTTAAAATAGCTGTATTTTTTTATGAGAAATAAAAAAATTTGAACGTTATAAATATGAAAATCAAATTTTAGGTGGTAGAAATAAAAAATACGTAAGGATTGGGAAGTTATGCATGTAAATGCCCAAAAAAAAACCTCTACCAAGTGAATTACCAGTATTGACAGGGTCCTCTCTCTCTCCTTTCTCTTGCAGATTGGCTTCGGAGAGGACAAAGAAGCAAAGCTCGCCCGTGACCACTGCATGTGACGAGAAGAGGAGAAGTTTAGCCTCACGGCTCCCACAAGCCCCCACTCACGTGTCGACTTCCTTCCCATTTCTTCTCTCTTCCTTCAATTTCTGCTAATTCAATACATATTTATATTAAATTAACCTGTCTCCTCCCCTTCGTAATTTGGGCTTTCGATTCCGTAGATTTGTTGATTCTGCTATACTATCATGCTACTGAAAAAGACACAACAAGCTCAGGCTGCTTGTGAGCTTGGGCAGTTAAAGTCGAATTCTCTGCCACAATGAATCAATTGCTAATCTAAACTTAGCAGAAGAAGGACCTACAAAGAAGGAGAGATGAATATATTTGTACTAATTAAATTGCTATATTATGTTTTACTTGAAAAATATAGCAGCCTAGCTAGCTAAGTTGCTTTGGATGACTAGCTAACCATATAATAGGAGCTTAAATAATTGAAATATGGGCATTGCAAATTATTCTTTACTATAATAAAAAAATAGTGAATGCATAAAAACCCACCTGGCAAGACAACACAGCATTAATTAGAAGCATTCTGCACAAATAAAGTTCATAGGTCGACTGAGAAGATTAACTCTGTTTTATAAATAGTTATTATATGAAAATTACATAGTTAAAGTTGAAAATATTGATATCGAATAATTAGTCTTAGTATAACACAATATAGGTAAAAAATGCACATGAAAATTGCATTTATATATATATATATATGTGTGTGTGCGTCTATATATTTAGCATTGTGTTTTAGGCACGAGCGGCTTGCCCTGTAGTCTTTGATTCTAGTATGAGAAAACAATAGTAAATTAAATTAATCTTTTATACTGTTTTGATAAATATTTGTGTTAAAAGTTTCTAAAGGGTTTAAGTCAGGCAAAGAATATATGCCCAACCGTTGTCCGTTGGCGTTGGGATAATGGGAACAAAGAATTCCAACTAAAAAACCAGAAGGAATAAAAAGAGTATGAGCAAAATCAATGACAACTATAAACCGCTGAAAAAGATTTCATCAGCAATAAAAAGATAAACGGCTATGCGAAAAAGATTTCATCATGTGAACCACATCTTTTAGAGTGTCTTGTTTAGCACTGCTGACATGAGAATTCTGATGCATCAAATGTATATTTTTATTTTAAAACATATAATTAAATTTAGTAAGCTGTATTATTAATAAAAGTCACTTCATAATTTTTTTACCTCAAAATTTTGACACTTGCTTAGTCATTTCAATTATATCTGATTATTATGAATCAAACTGAAAAATACATAAAAAATATGTGCCCAATAAATATTAAGCTACTAAAGTGCTTTCAAATGATCCAATATATATATAATGTACTAAAATATTGGAATGTCAGGCCGCAATCCTGTGGTTCCCTCCCTCCCAGTCCCACAGCGACGAGAGCTATTTAAACTGTTAACAATTCCCTCCTCTCCTACCAACTCATCATCTTCCCCTTCCTCACTTCCTTTCTCTATAAAATGCTGCTCAATGCAACAAACGCCATTAAACCAAATATTGCCAAAAGACAGAAAGACATGGCTGGATTCAGCCTGAAAGCCGTTTTGTCAATCCTGCTACTCATTCTTCTCATGCTCTGCCATAGCTTTGAAGTCTGCGAAGCAAGAAGAGGCAAGCATTGGAGGCAGAAGAGGCTTCCAGCTTCTTCTTTAACAAAGAAGAAAGGAAAGGGGCAAGGTGGCGGCGGCCCCGGCCACAAGAACCACCACGGTGGCAGCGGCGGTAAGACTAATCCGGCTCCCATGCCAAGCCCGAGCCCAAGCCACAATTCAATATACGACGTGCTTGATTTTGGGGCTAAAGGGGATGGGGTGACTGATGACACTAAGGTGGACAACATTTATCTCTTTGGCATTCTTCAATGATTTTCCTTTTTCGTTACAGAGGCACCATATCTTTCTGTATTTGTTTGCGCAATCTTTTTAAATTTTAAATTATTTTTTTTTTTTTTTTAATTCCGTTGGTTTTGTTTGTTTTGTCTGCGGAGATTGAAAATTTTGTTTGCATGCACGTGAAATTAAAATAATTATTAACCAATTAAACGGTTCCAAGCGAAATATTATTGAGGATGGCAGTACTCATATTATTGGAAAGAAAATTAATGTTTAGAAACACATTATGCGTACTTTTAACTACTTAGTTCTCTAGTTCGCATTTGAAGCTTCCAAAAAAGGAAAAAAAAGAAGAAAATATATGACACCGAATAAGTGGGCATGACGATGTTGTGGATCGTATCATCTCACATAATACAATTCAGTCTCCGAACATCCACACAACGCCCATAATGTTTTGTTCTAAAGAATAACTTTTTAAAAGAAAACTAGATGATTTTTACATAAAAATCACAACTTTTTCTTTCACAAAAACAGTAAAAAAAAAATCAAGAGTAGTAAAATGTCTACTTTTCTAGTTCTAAAAACAACCCACGTCAAACCAGAGGACTTATCCTCTTCAATTAAGGAACCCGAATTGAAATGCCGGATGCGCTTTTGAGCATTAGCTTTATCATAATCGTCAGACCCTACTTTTATCGGGTAACTTCTCTTGAATACTAACACTAATCGCTTATCTCAACAAAGATTACTTTTAGTTTCAATTTTTTAGTTATTAGAAGTTTCTGTTTCTATTCTTTTACTTTAAATTATTTTATATTACTGTCATAGTATCACATTTCCGTTCATACCACTCAATTCTGTATTTACATATCTTACAAGTAAACTTTAATTTTTATATACATGCCACATTACCTATACATGAAAAAGGCGCACTTTACTTTTAAAAAGTTAAAATGATGATATTCTTTGTGATATGAGAAATTTTGATGCTATAAGTGTATAAAAAAAGTAAAGTGTAGGTATTAGACATGTCAAAAAATACATAGAAATTGTGTGGTATGTAGGTTAATGCCCCTAATACGAAACAAATTAGCGGTGAAACCAACAAAAATTTTCAATTATGTTGATAATAGAAAATTGTCCCCTCACCCGAGGGCAACTAGAGAAACCCATACCATAAAGCATTAGCAACTATTCCTGCGATTAAATCAGAGCAGAGCTTTGAAGTTTTTAATTCCCTCTTCAGTACATATAAGTTATTAGTTCTTACAAGTAAACAAATATCTCTCTTCCCCGCATCACCATCTTTCAAAAGTGCGTATAGTAGCAGTAGAAGAAGAGCGTTGCAGTTTTATTGACTGGAAAATGACAGTGCAGGCATTCGAAGAGGCTTGGACTGCGGCCTGCCAGGTCGAGGCATCAACGGTGAAGATTCCGTCAGATTATACATTCCTTGTCGGCCCGATCTCCTTCTCGGGTCCTTACTGCCAACCTAACATCATATTCCAGGTATAATATTTGAGGCTCAAAGGTAGCTAAATACCCATTCCACCCAAATCTTTATACGTACATTAAACATTTTCTTGAAAATGTATATTCACTTTAAGTTAAGGTTACTGGTTTTTTTATATGCTTGAGAAATTAGAGAGTTATACAAGTAAATGTAAGGACAGAGGACTTTAGAAATGTAAATATATAAAAATTTGTGTTATGTATGTAAATATCCGAAAAAAAAGAAATTGCAGCCTAAAATTCTTGAAAACTATGATGTATTATGGATTGAAAGGCATTTCAAAAACCAGCAATGTAATGAAATACACGTGATCAACTTTCCAGGCAAGGCTATATGACAATTTAGCGAGCCCAGGAAAAAAGGAAAAACCGTAACGGTTAATTGGAATTTTTTATTACGCCCGTTGGACATGTGACTGCCAACTGCTAACTGATTTCTGATGTGGAATGATTTCAAAATGAGTGGCTATAGCAGCTGCCGGCATGTGAGACCGCAGCAGCTGAGTGAAGAATATAGTAGCTGGCAAAGATGTCTTTCAGGAGTTATCAGAGAAACACATATATGCACTAATAGTTAAAGGTGTAATTTTTCACGGTGATGATGCGTGAGTTTGAATCGTGCATGTTGCTTTTTGGGCTCACCTTTCCCTGAAAAAAAGAAACATATATCTTTCCCAATGTAAAAATAATTATCTACCCATCAATAAAAAATAAAGGGGGTTCAATCTCTTATGTATTTACACTATGGCGGTATTTTTTATGTGAGAAGAAATTTGGGGTGGTATAAATGTAAAAGGTAAATTTTAGGAGTTAGATATGTAAATGCATAGGAATTGAGAGATATATATGTAAATGCCCAAAAAATAAATAAAAATATAACTGATAATCACACCTGATGTTTGTATCTTTCCTTTGTTGCAGCTGGATGGAACAATCGTTGCACCTACAAATTCAAAAGTTTGGAGCCCTGGACTGCTCTGGTGGATAGAATTCACAAAGCTAAAGGGAATCACAATTCAAGGTCGTGGCACCATAGAGGGCAGGGGCAGTGTCTGGTGGACCCAATCAGAACCCGACAATGAACCTGTAAGCCTCAGGCACCAGATTATTGCATTTTGAGTTGTGATAGATAGTTCGTCTGAATTCCACTCACAAAATTCTTATCAATGACTGCTGTAGATAAATGAGCAACTTGGCATGAAGATGCCCAGCATCAAACCAACAGTAAGCCACAGAAAACAAAACATTTTTTTTTTCTCTTTTTGTATATAACATGACCTGAATACGATCTTCTTCAGGCATTAAGGTTTTACGGTAGCTACAATGTAACGGTGACGGGCATAACCATCCAAAACAGTCCTCAGTGTCACCTCAAGTTTGACAATTGTGAGGCTGTCCATGTGTTCAATATGTCTGTCACATCCCCAGGCGACAGCCTCAACACCGATGGAATTCATCTTCAGAACTCAAAAGATGTTGCAATCCACCACTGCAACCTGTCCTGCGGTAATTCCGTAGCCTTTCTGGACAATAATGAAATATCTAAACTTTAAAAGCATTATGCTTTACAGCGCATCTCCCAACCTACAGAATGAAGTTAATATATAGATGTGAATATATGTGAAAATTACAAACATTGCTTGATGGTATAATTCAGTAGGTTGCTTTGCTACTACTGTGCACCAGACAAATAAGCATACCATTTAAACTTTATAACTACTAACATATCTTATTGTATACACTGTATGCTCTTACATAAGAATTGTTCGTTGCATTTTCCTGTTTCAGGTGATGATTGCGTATCAATGCAGACAGGATGCAATGGTGTGAAAATACATGATGTAAACTGTGGACCTGGCCATGGGATCAGCATCGGAGGTCTTGGAAGAGACGACACCAAAGCATGCGTATCTAATATTACAGTGCAGGATGTCAACATGTATGGAACCATGACAGGCGTCAGGATCAAAACCTGGCAGGTAAAATGCAGCTTTTACTTACTGAGCACTGATATAACCTGATGACTAAACCACTTCCAAAAATATTCATTGCAGGGTGGTTCAGGTTCAGTACAAAGCATAAGATTCTCAAATATCAGAGTTTCAGAGGTGCAAACACCTATAGTCATCGATCAGTTCTACTGTGACAGAAGTTCCTGCAAGAATCAGACAACTGCAGTAGCATTATCAAGCATTGCATATGAGAGCATCAAGGGGACATATACTGTAAAGCCTGTGCACCTAGCCTGCAGTGATAACACTCCCTGCTCCGACATCAGCCTGACTGAAATAGAGCTCCAACCCATGCAAGAGCATTATCACATGTACGATCCATTCTGCTGGCAGGCTTTTGGAGAATTGTATACACCAACTGTCCCTCCAATTCCCTGCCTGCAGAACGGAAAGCCAACAAGCAACCGCATCCTCTCCGATCATGATGTCTGTTGAAGTGCATGAGAAACATGGTGTGTATTAGGTGTGGCTGTGAAGCTCCCAACCCCCTTTACATAATGTCCCGGGGAATACAGATACATTGTATTTACAATAAGGACATCTATGCCGATTGGCATGGTGGTACTTAAGAGGTTGAATCATTTGTATGGTTCCAGTATCTCTAATGTGCTGCCCAGAAGGTTGCTTACTGGTGCTTATTGGCAGCTCTGTGGATGTCTTCATGATTAAATATTGGTGGGTTTTGTCAATTTGTCAGTTGTACAAAGAAATCAGTTTAGTATCACTACTACCTTGTACCATCATATAGAACTATGTCCTTGCGCTTATAGTACTAGCCTTGAATATATTTGGAATTGAGTAATTACTCAACTCTTCTAGTAACCAAAGATAAGACAAATGTAAAATGTATTGCAAGAGATTCCTGACTTAATGTTAAAAATACGGCAAAAGAGCTATAGCAAAATTCAATGATTGACAGGTAACCCTCGTCAGGAATAACTTTTGATACCAGCCACACAAAAGTGCTAAAAGGCTAAGCTTGAGTCTAGTAAGAAAATTTGGAAAATAAACCTGAAATGATTACAAAAAAGTGAACTTTTAACTAAACGAGATTTAAGCAGCAGAAACAGATAGCATCTAACATAGGGCTCATTTTATCGAATCCTAGTGTGTTAATTCATCCATAGAAAGTCACCTGACAAAACAAAGCTTAGCAATCATCTCTGTTCCCTCATCAGCTGCTTTGATTATTTTCCTCTAGCATTTCATTACAGCAAAATTGCAAGGGCCACCATGCGGAAATAGCATCCCAAGCTTTCCATCATTCATAACCTTACTATTATTATGTTTTATTCTTATTGATTTCATCACATCCAAGTGATACTACATTAAACGCATTTCAACTATGTAAATTTTCCAGATGAGCAAGTTCCTATCAGAAATCATCCAAACAGCGCAAAAAGACAACTACATGGGGGACTTCTACAAATTTAAAATTCAATATAGATCATCAGTGCCAATACATAACCAATAAATATTTAGCCAACACATCTGAGTTAAAAAATTTGAACATCCGTACTGTCCATACATCAAATTAAATTTTATTACTAGTACGATGTGTCTCGTCGAATTGTAATTTGCAAAGCCAACCGTCAAAATAATGATAAATATGGAGGTGACTCAAGTGACTCCCACAGGAGACACCCCATCTTAAAAACAAGTCACAATAGGGTAAGTAATAAACTCGGTAGGATGTACCAAACTTTGGAATATATGCCAGCAAGTTAACTAAATTCAATATGCTTGATACTGAATAATAAAATTATACCACAAGCATGCATAACCATGAAGAACAATATTTAAAAAAGGCATTCTTGATGCAAAAAAGCATTTTTTACTGGAATGGGTGCATCAATGGTAGTCATAATAAGAAGTATAAGCAATTATTAATCAATGTCATGCTAATAATATCAACATAATAAATGAATCAATTTGCAAAAAATAAAGCAACAAAAATCAGTAAATAAGGCCAACCAAAGCTAGCAATGGGAATAAACGCTTAAATGAAGAGGAAACCTCTCTCAATTAATAAATCAGTATTAGCCTAAGAAACATAGAGCTTGCCAGCTGCTCTTAGTGAAGTAGCAAAGGAAATACTTAAGGATTCTAAATTTATAATAAACATTACTTTTGGGAGAATGACTAGCTATGCTAAGGAAAAGGCCGGACTCTATTATTTTGACAATGGTTTTGATGGAAATAGACAATGTCAAATTATATGTTTAAATTCTAATTTGATTTCCAAAGGCTGATATTATACTATGGTATTTTAGGTTAGGCCATCTTAGTTTTCAATATTAAAAATTATTGTTTCTCAGTTTACTTCAAAATAAAAATTTATCATCCTTCCAATGTGAAGTCTGTTGGTTTTTCAAACATCATTGTGCATCTTTTTCTCCCCAAATTTACAAGCCAGCTGCACTTTTTACTATGATTCATAGTGATATTGGGATCCTTGTAAAAAACATACACAATCTAAAATATACTTTATTATCTTTACTGAATCACACGAGATTAAGTTGGTAAATTTAATGAATGAAAATTTTGAGGTGGAAATAGTTTTTAAAAATTTTTACACCATGATACATAATTTTAAAAAACTATTCAAATATTATGAAGTGATAATGGTCGCAAATATTTCAAAAATATTTTAAGACAAATTAAAAAAAAAAAGTTAATTGAAGCTTTTGTTTAGACATCCCACAATAAAATGATATGATTGAAAGAAAAAAACAATGATTGGAAGTAGCTCGAACATTGTTATTTACAAATCAGGTGTCAAAATATTTTTGGACTGGACCTATTCTTACTGTTACATTTCTCATTATCAGAACAACAAATAACATTGTGAACATTGGAATATCTTTTGATGTTTTTCAAAAATTTTGTCTATCACTTATTTTCTTCTGATTTACCTTTAAGAATATTTGGGTATATTATATTTGTTCACAATCATAATCATATTCAAGAAAAACTTGAACCTCAAGTTATATAATATAAGTTTGTTAGTTATGCTCCCACCCAAAAGTGGTATAAATATTTTGATTATATTTCCGAAAAAATTATTTTCATAGATGTCACTTTTTTTAATTATAACCCTTTTTTTATCTCATCTTCGAGGGCGGAGGGAAGTGTGACAAAGATTCGACTAACAATTTTCTTGACATTCTTCAAATCAAAGACTCACAAAATAATATCTCTTTAACAAATTTTTTTTTTGGTGGGGGTGGGGGGGGGGACGGACAAAACAAAGATTTGACTACTGATTTTCATGACTTTCTTCAAATCAAAGCTCATAAAATAATATCTATCCAACATTGATTGTTCAACTTGAAATTCAAGCTATATTATATGAGGAGAAAGTGAATCGAGTTTTTTAAATATTGAAGACGATACAAATTTTTCTATAATGTAATCTCATGATGTTCACAATCCTATAAAAACTAATGAAGAGAAAGCAGAAAAAAAACTATGAAATTGATACCATTTGACAATTTCTACTTGCGACAAAGGATAACTCCAAAGAAAGAGTCTACGAAACATTTGCATTGCCCATAATCGATGAATTCTCCAAGTAATGTCCTCACTGAGTTTTTACCCAATGATCAGTCAACTTCATCTTCGAGTTCTGAGTCTTTTAGTTCTGAACCTAAGATGATATAGCTGAAGAGAATTCTTGAAGAGTTATGGATCCCGATACACATGCCAATGAAGTTGTCCTGTGACATTAAAGTTGTCATAAGCATTGCAGAAAATCCAATGCAATATGATCACACAAAACATATGGAGATTGATAGCTACATCATAAAAGAGAAGATTGATTGTGGAGTTATTTGCATACCTTTCACCCCAACAGTGCAACAAATAGTAGATATTTTTACCAAAAGACGAGTGTGAGAATAACATGACTTTTCTGATGAGGTGATCTTCCTCTGCTATTTATCTTATAACCGAGTCTTAGGAAACCAAAGAGAAATAATTATTTTGCCCTTACAAAAACTACATCAACCATATGCCCCCTTCCATTTGATTTCAAGAAAATGATAAGAGTATCAACATTAAGTGACAAAATATTACAATGTTAACTAGGAAAGAGATTAAGACAACAAAATATTAGTCTCATGCTACAATATTTTCCTTGGCAGAATTTGATATTTTGGAATGATAAGAAGAAAAAGAAAACATTTCAATGTCAAAGGTTGAGATTGAATATAAAGTATTTTCTTCTACAGTTGTAAGAATTATTAGGATACAACATATTTTGCAATTGTTCAAATTACCATTGAACAAGCCAGCTGTGTATTTAGAGACCAAAAATACCGGGTTGTGACCAATAATCTAGCCTTGTATGGTCAATCAAAACAAATAGAGATCAGAGCTAACTTATTTCATCAAAAGAACAAGTGTCGAATATGATGACAAAATGATATTGATCTACGTCTATTATCTGCAAGTAAACTTGATTAAATGCATTGAAAAGAATAAAAGGTGGCGCAATTTCCTGAGAATTTGACTCTGAACATCTCGTTTGCATTAAGAGACCTTATTTGTTGCCCATTTCAACAAATGAAATCTTCCTGATGCATCTGAAATGCATAAACGATCCAAATAAGGCATATTGTATAGCTCAAGTTGTAACACAAGGAGTGAACAAAAATTTTCACACGTAAGGGAGAGATAGAAGTCACAATAAGGTTTGCACACACATATATTCTCAATAAATCAAATCATACACATCTTTTTTGATGCAGCAAGAGATTTAGGACCCATTTGGGGTGGCAGTAGAGGAGCGGGGCGCTGCATTTTTCTTGTGTTTGGGGTGGCGGAGCAACTGCGGTGCCCCGTGTTTTTCCTTAAACACAGGCCGCAGGTTCGGCCCATGGCCCGCTTTCAACTTGGTGCCCTCCTTTGTGATTCCACCCTAACTCTTCTTCCTCCTCGTTTGGCTCTTTACGCAAGGGGTAAGCTGCGATCCTCCCCTCCTCTTCTCCCATGCTAATGACGCTCCCTAGTTCATCCTCCTCTTCTCTTGTGTTTCTCACGCAACGTGGTTCTCGTCATCTCCCTTCTCTGTTAGTTTGCGGTAAGCGCATTTTCTACAATATAAGTGAATGCCTTGTTCGTTGGATTTGTGATATTAGATTTGAAATGTTCTTTGGTGGTAAGGATGTGTGGATTGGATGTGAAGGCTACATGTTCTTGGTGGCCCGATTTTTGGTTTGCTTAGCTAGATGTGAATGCTAAATGTTGTTAGTTGTATGTTGCTGGCAGTGTAGCAGGAGACATACACAGTCTGCATGTTAAGAACAATATAATCATTATATTAATTGTAATTTTAATAATTTTTACTTTTTTTGGCACTCTTGGTACTCCCTTTTAGGTGAGATGTGTATCTAAACTTTTTGTATTATTTTGAAGTGAATTTCTGTTTCTGAAGTATCAAATATATGTCTATGACAGTTCTATTTGAAATAAAATTACTAAACAGGAGCAGAATTGTTATTTGTCCAGAAAACAGCTGTGTGACAGTTGTTTTTAATCAGCTGAAACAAACAGTCAGTCAGCTTCCCAGCAACAGCTTCTTGAGGCAGCTAAACTGCACCTGCCCCAAACAGAACCTTAATTTTGGTCATGTCATCCCAGCTACCGGTACAAGCCTTCTTTGGCATGGTGGAAAGGCCATGCATGCTGCATAACACTCTCTTCACGATAGATGATGCTAAACTCACCATAAAAGCTGGACAAAATAATGTCGAGATCTAATTAACACAATGAAATTGAAAAATATTGAACCAAAGTTGTACAAATAAGTCCAAAATAATACCATAAAGTGCACATAAACTCATGTAAATGAGAAAAATAACTAAAGAAAAATGCACTCACTAAACATTGTTGGATGACCAATGAGCACAAGTGACACTTAAGGTGTGCAAAATGAACTGATAAGCATGCCTAATAGCATGTAAAACGAAAAAAAAAAACAACAAAATTTGCACGATCAAAAAGCTTCATGTGCATTCTAATGATAATGCAACGGACACAAGGCAAAATTGAACCTAAAAAAAAATAAATAAACATAGGAAAAGCATATATTGTCAGTGTTTATATTTTAATCCACCGCACCAACAAAGGCACATATAGGTCTTCAATTTACCAACAAAAAGAAAATATGACAAGATTTTCCCACCATACTAGCAAATGTATGTACAATTACTTAAATTGTAGTTTTTTCCCTATCGTGCTAAGAAAAGCACTACAAATACTTATAAATTTTATATTTTATATATTAGAGCACAAGGAGGTGTTGACGGTGATGATAAAGTGCACATAAACAACTAAAGTGCACATAAACTCATGTAAATGAGAAAAATAACTAAAGAAAAATGCACTCACTAAACATTGTTGGATGACCAATGAGCACAAGTGACACTTAAGGTGTGCAAAATGAACTGATAAGCATGCCTAATAGCATGTAAAACGAAAAAAAAAAACAACAAAATTTGCACGATCAAAAAGCTTCATGTGCATTCTAATGATAATGCAACGGACACAAGGCAAAATTGAACCTAAAAAAAAATAAATAAACATAGGAAAAGCATATATTGTCAGTGTTTATATTTTAATCCACCGCACCAACAAAGGCACATATAGGTCTTCAATTTACCAACAAAAAGAAAATATGACAAGATTTTCCCACCATACTAGCAAATGTATGTACAATTACTTAAATTGTAGTTTTTTCCCTATCGTGCTAAGAAAAGCACTACAAATACTTATAAATTTTATATTTTATATGTTAGAGCACAAGGAGGTGTCGACGGTGATGATATGATGATTTCGGCGAGAAGAAAATACACAATATATATTTTTTTCCTTTTTTAATAATAATATATATTTATATATTTAAATATATAAACATGAAGAGGAAAAGTGAGAATAGTTGTTTGGTGGCCGAGGACAGCTTCCGACAGAGAAGTATGAGCAAATAATGCGACAAGGAAGTACTTGTGTGGATTGAATATGAAGAAAGTTACGAAAAGGAGAATGGAGACTTATGCGAGGGATTGTTGTCTCTGTTGTGTCAAACAAAAGGCAGACTGGAGTGGCTTAGAACAAAATTGAAGAGATAAGGGGGATTTGGCTAAAATGATTCAAAAATAAAAAATATGGATGAAAGGTTTCATGTGTGACTTAGGACGTGTGACTTAAGACGTGTGACTTAGGACAAGGAGGCGAGTTCGGGCGAGCAGGTTAGAGTGATCTCAGGTTCATGTATGACAGAGGGATGACAACGAGATTCTCTATGTGCCAAAATTAGTGCATTATTTGGCTATAACAAAAAAACCAAACCGAATCAAATTTTATTTAGACGACTTGGTTTGGTTTCAAAATTAGTGGTTTGAATATCTATTTTAATTATGTATATTTTATTTTCATTTTTGGATTGGTTTAAGAATCACAATTTTGGATAAAACAAAAAAATTGATTAAACAGTTATAAATTAAAACCAATTTTGCAATTCACATTTTTTGTTTTGTTTTTTCTTCTCCAGTCGAGCTTCCATGAAAGTAACCAATTGTTTTTCTAATTATATATATATTTTTTACTTCCTCTTATTGTTATCGGTTATATAATAAAAAACTGCATGATATATATAATTTGCACAAATAATTATATGATATAGCTAATGCTGGTTTAACCAAAATCAAACTGAAATAATTGAAATAATTTTTTGTTTAGATTTGTTCGGTTCTGCATTTTATTTGGTCGATTTGATCCAAATTTTTAAAGATCCAAGACCAATTAATTTCACAAATTTGTCATCCAAACCGACCAAATGCACACTCCTAGCCAAACACTGGGGGGAGTTTTGGTTTCGATGAAATGAGAGAAGAGAATCACAGTGAAATGTTGTGTGAAAACAAATATCGTAAGACTTTTGTTAACAAGGAGCGGGATTCAGTATCAATGGAGAATGAAGCTGGAAGGTTGGTTGGAATGGACGTGGTTAAGGTTATAAAAATGGGAAGAGTTTGATGGGAATAATGTTATGGTATCAGGTAATGGTTTCACATTCATGTAGGGACTCAAAAAAATTGATTACATAAAATTTTCTCCAAAGAATAATTTAAAGATTATAAATATCTAAAATTGGCATAAAAATCTAAGAACAAATGAAAATCACAAAATGATTTTGATTTACGCCACAAAAGAAAAACCCAATTATAGTCTTATAGTAGAATGGACCAAATTTCAATCATGCACACAAAATCAAACACAAATATTTAGACGAACAAGACAAGAATATTACAAAAAGAAGGTCTAGGCTTCACATCATTATAAGAAAAAGTTTCTACCAAAAATTACCATCAAGACTTGTACCGCATATGAAAAATTCAAATCCAAATAATACACACCTTCTTGGGAGAAACCATGATTATTTTATGGTAGGAACCATGCTAAATATTTTATTCACTGAAAATAGGGCAGCAATCTAATCATTACATAAGCAAGTATGAGGCCATTTACAAATCAAATTTCACAAAAAGAAATAGTAAAAAAATAGTTTAAATAAGATCATAGAATAAAGTTAAACAAGGGGCATTTACCCTCGGAATCAATAAGTATAACTCTTGGGCTAAAGCTCCTTGGAAATAAAAAATTTGGAACAAGTGACGAATTCCTACAAGCCTTAGAGGCCCTATCTATAATAAAAATTCTTAAAAATTGGTAGACTTATCGAATCACAAAATATAGCTTAAATATATGAGTCTTCAATTCAACAATGTTGAATTTTAATCTGGACAGCAAGTTTCTAATCCTACTAATTCA